GTCTTCGGAGGAGCTTGTTTCTTCTCTAGCAGTGTTTCGCCCTCGTTGAGGATTGTGCAATACAGATTCACTGTCTTTGGAAAGTCAGCTCCGACTTGTTCCCACGTCTGATGTACAAAGCGAGTCATTTGCCTGGCCTTTTGGATGGAGCTGAAGGACGATGGGAATGCTGATGACGACTATGGAGATGACGTGGATGACAATGAATCGTCGGTGGATGACTCTCCTGATGCTCCCCGTGGTAGCGGTGATGTTCCGCCCCCCCCCACCGATCATTCAAGCATACTCGATGACGAAGATGTTGAAGATTCAAACAGGAACTGGAGTAATCTTGGCCCAGCTCGTCCTCCGACTCCACCTCGGCCAAATCCTTCGCCGATGATGACTTCCCCAATCATCGTTGCCGGCCCGCCTCCTTCGCCACCAGCAAGTCCTCCAGCACCAGCATCTTCTCTTCCTGTTCCAGTGTCTCCTCGTCCGTCTATTTGGACTCTCGATGCTGGACCTGGACGCATGATTACGGCAACCTATACTTCGGTGCCGCGTCGTGGTGGTGCACCGTCGGTTGAGCCGTTGCCTCACCGAGTGTTATCTGGTACTCGCTCTTCGGTGCCGGCTTCGTCCACCCTGTCACCGTGGGTTCTTCCGTATGTGGAAATGGAATTTACCGATGCAGGCGCCAAGAAGTGTTTCGAGCGACTCCTGAGCTTAACGCTTCCTGAACCAGCTGGTGAGGTGACCGTGCGTACAACGTTGGAGGGTCTCCAAGCGTTCTTTGATTATTCGCATCCTGATCACCCGTACCAGCAACTTCGGCAGCTTTATCCTCTGCAAGCTTGCCTCTTTGACACTGTCGACTTCAAACCAAGCGTCCCCACCTCCAAGCGTGCCCCGATTGAGACCCGTCTCAAAATGATCTGGGCGAACCTTCGGGGTGACGGCGGTAAGCAAGGTGACCTCGGGTTCGCGTTGTGGGAGCGTCTCCACTGGCTTCCGTTAGCTGGTATTGAACGAGGTCTCGCTGAAGAAGCTAAAAAGGTTGGCCACGACAAGGAACGCTTGAAGGAACTGAGAGCTATGTTTAAGAAGCTCTTCAGTGAGCGCGACCGTCGTGCCGATCGTCTTCGTAACAAGTACCGTGAGCAGTACATGGCGTGGAGTCGTGACTCGGTTTCATCTAGTGCTTCCGGAGTGTCATTCATTCGTCCCGAGTTGCTTTTGGAGCCGTCTAAGCCGTGGTACCCCATTGAAAACTTGCCATTCGCACCTCAGACATCTGACTGGCTTTCCGAAGTTCCGGCTCTCGACGCTCGTCAGCCATGGCGTACTGGATGGATGAATGCGCCGCATCAGCACCCGTACAACACCACGTACTTCCCGTGCCAGCGTAATCCGGAGTTCTTCAATCCTTGTGGTACGCGTTTCGTGGATGTGTACCGAAGCGTGATCGTTGACCCGTCTCTCGATTCAACCGAGCTTATTCCGACCTGGCGTTCGTTGTTTGACTCGCCACCGGGTACTCCACGTCCTGCTCTGGCTGCTGCTCCTGTTGAAGCTGGTACCGAGGATTCGCAGGGTCGGTCTTCAGCTCCAGCTGCCGAGGCTCAGGTTCTTGATGAAGAGGAGAAGGAGAGTGGTGACTCGGCTTCGTTGACACTCTTGGCCACCGCGGCCAGACACTTGTAATCGATTTGAATCCTCGCTGCACGTTCTACGACGTTCTCCAGCATCTCAGCTAACTGTTGAGGTGTCCCGCGTGACTTCGTTTTCAGTGATCGCTCCGCGGTCGGCATTCATGTTTTCTTATTCTTAATCCACTTCCACAGCGTAATCATGTTCATGTTGTTCTTCAAATGCATATACAATTTGTTGTTGCAGTAACGTTCTTCGTCTGTTACCACAGGCTGCATCGCCCTGTGGACAGTTCATACGTGATCAAGTCACGCTAGTCTTCGTCCGCCACTTGCGCCATCTGCAGCCGATTCTCGCTCTTCTTGGCTCGCAAATAGTCGTACAGCAGACCTCCACATGACAAGTTTGATGATGGTTCCCAAGTTGTATCTTTATAGCCCACCCACTTGACTTTGAACTCGCGTACAGCACGCTCCGTGCTCGTCGTTAGTGGTGTTCTGTCGTCGAGGATGGCCTCGACTTCATATTCACCGGCAACTTGATCTGGTTCCCAGCTGTCCTCAGGCAGTAGTTCCTCATCGAAGTCGAGTCTTGCTTCATTAGTCGCGTCAAGTACCAACCGAGTGTTCGGTCGACTGTTGAATTCGTTGACAGCCTTGAGTCTTGACACATGCACTACTGGGTAAAAGCGATACCCACTTCGATCAGGCAGTTCCAGCTCGTACGCAAACTCTTCCACCTTGCGCTTGATCCGAAAAGGTCCATGCCATCGGTGAGCTAATTTCTTCGTCAAGCCCGGTTTGACGCGTTCCATGTACAACCACGCCCGGCTCCCAATCTCAAAAAAAGATCTCGGTGGAGCTCTTGCAGGATCTTCCATCTCTTCCGAAGCTTCTGGAGGGTTCGCCGAGTGTTCGTTTCCACTTGGTTGAGGTACAGCAGCTTTTTCCAGTCGACTCAGGGCCTCATTATGCTTTTTAGCCCTTCGCTCCTTTTCTACAGCCTGATAATCTTTGGCCATAGTGAGGGCGACCTCATGTTGTCGATTCATCTC